TGTGACTTTTGCTTGTTTATTTGTATTATTCCTTACTTAATGGCAGACTTCCAGACTAACCATAAGCTCAAAGTGTGGGCAGAGTCCATGCCGATTTTTGCTCTCTACAGTGGCCAATGTCTATTTTATGGTAGGTGCTTAACCAAGATTAATTTAGTGAATGAATAAGCCAGAAAATTTTTACTGTGCATAACATTTGAGTTGAACAGCATGCTAAGAAAAACACATCAAACACTGAACTTTCAGTGTTCCCAACACTTTTCTGCAGTTGTCTACATTTTGGTAAATGGTAACTCCATGTTTCCTGCTCCCTTTGTGTCATCTGTGACCCCTCTTTTTCTCTCATACTTCTTGTCCATTTTATCGGTAAAGCCAGTCAGTTCTAACTTATGTTTATCCAGTGTTTCAACCATATTACCTCATGTCCACTGCTAACTTTCTGTCTAATCCACCATTCCCTGTGCCTAGACTAGAGCTGGTTTCCCCTCTGCTACCCTTAACTTACTATATTTGTTTTCCATGTGGCAGAATACTCTTCAAAACATAAATCAAGCCATGCCAGTCACATCCCTCTCTCTCAAACTTTCCAATTATTACCCATCTCATTCAAAGTAAAAGTCTTTATGATGATGTAAGTCACTCTACACGCTATGCTCCATGACAATGGAGATTCACTCTGTTCTATTTTATTCTATGTCTGCAGTGCATAGAAAAGTCAGTGACACAAAGTAGACACTCAATAAATCTTCAATGAATTTGTGCACTTGCTAGCAACAGGCTATGTTATTTTTAAAAAGTTTTACCTGACTCTTAAAGCAGAAAAGACTCATTTGAATGGATTCCAATGAATACAATTACCCTTTAGTTAACTCATGCTAAGAGTGTTCAATATATAGCCTGACATTATGAACCTTTGTGCCAAGTCCTGCTCTTGAAAAACATGCATGGCAAAACTTGTATTGCAAAGTCAATTTTGACTTGTTAGGAAAATCATTATGGTGATCAATATTAGCTCAAAGAATCATTCAAGGGCATACTATGTCACAAGGCTGACTATTGTGGTTGAATGAATTAAGAATTGAAAGAAAATTCCACTTGGTAATTTAGTATGTTTTTATGCTTTAGAACAACTGTTTGGTGTGTTGGTGATTTGGTGACAATTTTCCGGTAATGAAAATCATAATCCTTGAAAGATTTTGGGGAAGATTTTTCTCTTGCATTTTGACAACTGGCAAATCACTTAATTCTACAGCAAATCATGTATTAATTTTATTGTTTACTTCTTTAACCGGGTTATGAGATGATAAGTTAGTGTTGAATAACTTCACATGTTAAAAGAGAGAGCAGGTAAGGGAGATGTGGTCAAAGGAAACCTTTGAAAGCATTTATAAGGTTTTATTTTCCTGCATATCCTGACATACCCAAGTAAAGTGAACAAATAAGTTGACAGAATAGTGATGGAATTTCACGTAGTTTCAATGAAAATTAGAACAAAGTTTTGGATGTCTTTGACCCTAAAATGACTTCCGGAGATTATCATGATGATGAAGTTGAAACTAGTGAAAAGGTGGGGAATGTGGTGATGTCAGACAGTGGATATCAAAAACGAGGCCTCTAAGCTGTCCATCCTCCTCAAACCCATTAAATCTTACACATTAACACTTAATGAGGGGCGTTTCAAAACATTAATTTCTGCTCCTGTGGATGGAGAAGTCTTCTAATTTTGTTAACTACATCTCATTCATTCACTAAATATTTATTGAGCACCTGCTTCTTGCCAGCGTTCTAATCTGAGGCTATCGAATGCCAAACGCTTCAGTGAAGAGCCATTACATGTCATGCAGAACTACGTAGAGAGAAAAAGTTTGTCTAATGAAGAGACTTAACAAAGTTTGAAGGAAGAAATATGAATTTGATTTATTCAAATGAGGAAAATTCATACTTAGCAAGTGATTTCCCTGAAGTCACATTTTTATGTATACAGAACTGAGAGGCAGAAAGGAAGGAATTTTTAAGTAACACTTAGCTTTATGTTTTGCCATCATTTAATATAAGAAAAAATATTCTTAAATAGAATAAACAAATATGTTGAAAAATTAGGTCATTATATGTGCAGAACATTTTTACATGTCACCTCACACGACTGATTTATTATGAACATAGCTAATCTAAGATTGACATAAGAATCCATAAGTGTTAAAACATGAACAAAAGAAAACACAAGCAAGAAACAATTGATTAGATTTTTTTATGTAAACATGGAAATTGGGATACATAGATCACTAGAGTTAGGTGCTGCTATTTATTTCCACTGATTCCAATCTAAAAAAACAAATCCAAGACTCTTTTTGCTTTGAATTTCTTTTATGGGAACAGTTTTTGTGATAGATTCAAAAGGATGATATTCATTCATTGGTAGGGGAAGAAGTCATTTACAAAGGACAAAAAATAAACCACAAAAAGAAATAAATAAAAGAGTAGAATAAGCATTCAGTCAAGTTTTACAACTATTGGAAAAAAACAATATTATGAACCCTTTAAAAACTAGGTCTCATAGAAGCATATCACATCCATATTCAACATTCAGATAAGCACGATCCATCCTCAGGTGTCCTTTAAAGACCCATATGTTTGGTGCAATTGCACTAAACAAAGATAAATTTCCAAGGCCTGAGAGTGCTTCATTTCTTTCATCAGTGGAAAGAGCCTGCTCAAGCAACAAAACTCTGCAAAAACCCCCTTGCACCCATGCAAGGCCTGGAACCCCCACTGCTCACCAACAGTGAATGCCTCACATGTGAATGGATTCTGTGGAAGACGGACTCTAAACTAATAAAAATTACTTATCCCTAAAGAGGATTAAACATATTCTCAAAGCAGAGAACTCCAGAAAGCTGAAATTCTGAACATTTCCACACACATACACATATCAAAGCCATAACACTTAAAAGAAAGTATAAACTCTCAGCAACACAACATGGAACAACTTCGAGATTTTACTGTCAGTCATGATTTTGCAGAAGGAAACTTGCATTGATATAGGACACCAAGTAATCAAAAAATGATATAGGGAAAATAATTCAAATAAACAGAAACAATCCAAACAAGGGAAATACTGTAACTCCCAACCTGCTAGTTGTCCAAAACCTGAGTTCGTGTTCTCTAAAATCAAAGAATGAATTCTAGGAACAACAGAGACCAAGAGTAGTAGGCAAAATTTATTGAAAGAGAGCTTCTAAGAGAGACAGAAAGGGGACTGGAGAGTGGGTTACCCACCCACAGTGCTTTTCAGAGGCATTTTATTGAGCAAAGCCACGAGGTGAGGCTGGTACAAAGTGGGACAAAACTGTAAGATCCAATGGGAAGTTACAAGGTAGACATGAGGTGGGACAAAACCATGACCAACCAATAAAATTACAAGTACAGTCACCCAGGTAATATTGATTAAATGAGGATCCAATGGGGAAACAAGTCATGTACAAGGAATTTCCGGAAAGGAAGTGGGCTAGGGAGATTGATGCCTATTTAGAATATCAATATAGATTCATCTATTCATCTCTAGGGGAGGTAGTCTCACTTTTCTTTTTATAATGCTAGCCAGTGAATATGCTTCAATTGTTTTTCTATGCTGAGGGCCCAGCTTTATGTAACGGCCTTATGATAATTTCTTTTTTGGGAGGGGTACTCGGATTCAAACTCAGGACCTTGCATTTATGAGGTTGTTGGTGAAACCACTGAGCTAAATCCCTGGCCCCCTGCCTTATAATAATTTCTAACTAACTTAGCTATCTGCAATAGTATGACACCCCACCTAGACTCCACTTATCCAAAGTCCTTCAGGAGAATCTTCACTGGTTTCTTTTGGAAGAAATAAAATCACGATGCCTGATTATCATATATCTTTAGATGGAAATCTTTAGATATCCCCCTCCAACATCCATGTCACAATGAATCTGAATTAGTCTCCCAAGTACATAGCTCAGTGAGTCTCCTCACCAACTTTCCAACTAAGTGAATTAAAATGCAAGGACACTGGGAGCCTTAGAAAGGAAAATCAATCAATTCAGGAACTTGAAGAGAGGCGTATGAAAAAAGGGGGGGGCAGCTCAAGCCCATTTTCTCAGGCTGTGGTCTAATGATTGCAGCCAGGATAACTGGATACCTGGATTCAAGTTTAAATGACTATCGTCAGGAGATTAAACCCTGGTGGCCCCTTGTAGCCTGTCCCCCCCACCCCCATGCTCTCCTTGAGGACATTTGTTGGTTGGCTGAAGGAGCAAATTAGAGCTGGTACACTTGCAATGACAGGAAAGGCAGAGGCCCATTGTGGGGATGGTGGTACCTTTTCTCTCATTCTTCATGGACTGTGGAGTTTTCCTTTTCTTTAAACATTTGTCCTAGGGGAGCAGAATTTCACCAAAACTGAAGACACCATGTTCACAAATACAGGAGCATATCAGCACAGATTAGACAGCCACAGGAAAGAGGACTTTCTCCTTTTATATAGAGGACAGAACAGGACACCACCCTAAAGCTCCAAAGACTGGTGGCTTTCTTTTGTTTCTCCTTCTCAGAGTGATGACCCTGAGACCATAGAATTTTTTAGTAACTGAAGTGTTCAGACCCTTAGCCTGCCTTTCCAAGGCCTGGCTTGCTGGTGTGTTATTTTTGTCCCTTAATGAAGAAGCAGGAGCGGGCCTAGTAGACATATGTTCCTTTCATTCCCCTGGCCTCACTAGAAGCTCCTGGCTCCTGGCCATAGGACATAGTTCACTATGACTCAAACATGAGTCTTTTCACAGGTTTGCAGAAGAGCAAGCATGTGCTATATTTCCTGGCCTCAGAAATTCCTTCTAGGGGATATTTAAGTTTCTTTTATTTATTCCTCATATGGTCCATGTGGTTAACCATGGTTTTGTTTTGTTTTTAATAGCAGTAAAGAAAGACTCATGGTAACCCTTCTTCAGACTCATCACTCCCTAGCTCAGACCTATAATTTATGAAGAACGTCCCCTGTGGGGAAGAATGTCTCAGCTGTTTAGTAATAGAATATGGAACTTTTACACACAATGAGCTGTGCTGCTTAGAGCCAAATGACAGTTCCACTAGGTGAAGGAGGGAAGTGAGAATTTGTCTTCTTTCCTGATCCACTGAAATGGCCAGGTAGGTCCCAGGCAAGGTCAGGAAGGGCCAACCCTTCTTACTTGGAGTAAGCTCAGTTCCATCTGTAGGGCTGGATAGAAATGGCTCCATAAAATATGAACCAGATGGACTTTCATTTGATTTCATGTCTGTGATTCTACTGTAGGGGTTCTCAATTCAGGTCTCTTTGGTCCTCCAGGGGGCATTTGGAAAAATTGGAGACATCAGAGATTGTAATGACTGGGGAACTGCTACTGGGAAGAGGCCAAGGACACTGTTTACCATCCCATAACCCACAGGGAAGCACTTTCTCCTTAACCTCTACTACGAGGAATCATCCAGCCCAGAAAGTCAGTAATGCTGAGGATGAGAGGCCTCCCTTTACCAGCTGATCCTAACAGTTTCTACATCTCTTCTAAGATAAGAGGTAATTATGACTCCTATAAGGTTGTGATAAAAGTTAAAGTAGAACAATATGCAGTAAAACACTTACATTAAGTACAGAATGAAGACAATACTGTTTACTTTCTTTTTTATATGCAGATATGTAAAAGCTCTCCCCTCCCCAACACAAATCTCTTTTTAATTTAGCTTGGGCTAAATTATGCTCCATCTTTCCATAATCTCAGGGAGAAATGACAACCAGGGCTGATCACTCTCTTCCTCCCTTAACTGCCTACCAGAGTGGACCCCAAACTGCAGCCTGTATGGGGCACTGTGATGTCATATGAAAAGAAGGCAGCAAATTTTAAGTTGGCTTTAAAAATCTCTACACAAATATGTCTTGTTCAGTGTTTTGCTTGCTTGGTGTTTTGTTTTAGTCATTTCGTTGATGAAGGAGGGATTCCTTCCCCACATTAATGGAGATGGCTGAAATCCTGATACTAGACAGATGAGACTGACTGCAGTTTATTAGTCAAATATAATCAGAGCTTGGGAGGATGATAGTGCACATTATGGAAACCCATACAGAGTTTATCCTTGGAGGCAGAGTTGGTACTCTGGGGCCATGAGAAGCAGACATGATAGTGACAAAAGGATTAGGTGCCCCGGGTTCACACAGGAGGGTGTCATTGACTTGTGTGAATAATTCCATAGACTGGTCTGGTGAGAGATTGTAACCCATTATTCGGGGATGAGCAGGACAATCCTTGGTCTGTTTCATCAGGAGGGCTCTTTGCTAAGGAATCTTACATGTGGAAGCAGAGCAGAAGGGGAGCTGAGAATCAGACCTTTTGAAGTCCTATTGATTTTATCAGGTGTCAAGACTACATGCTATCCAGCCTTAATTTCAGGCCTTAAACGCCAATCACCTCTGACTGTATTTCCTCAGCATACATAAGTTTCATGGAAAATTGAATTCAGTTACAGTAAGTAACTAAAAGATCATTCTAAGACAATGTTTTTACAACTTCTGTTTCTGCTCACAGACACTTTGTTGAATGAAAAGTTATCTAAACATCATCATTGACAAGAATAATGATGCTATCCACAAAATCAGATCTAATTGGCTTTGAGTGTGATAAACACCCTACTCTCTTCCCATGCACTGACATAACTTGACCATGTTTTACAAATGAGAAAAGTGAATCCCAGAGAGGGAGGAGTAAGCTCAGGAATCAGGCAGTAGAATTTGAATCTTCTAGTGTAAATATATATTCCTAGGCAAGAAATAACAAATCTCATAGTGAAAAAATATAGGGAGAAAATATAAGAGGTCTGTGGATTCTGGAAGTGTATCTGTATTGCGGAGGAGGCTGCAAAAGAAGGGAGGTAGAGGTCATAAAAGAAGGAAGATAGGAGTAATTTTTGAGACAAGAAGAAAGGAAACAGAAAAAGAAAGCCAAAGGCAGCAAGGTTGATTCAAACGTGCATTCCGCTAAGGACTTCTGGATCACTCTGTCTGACCAAAACGCCAAACTTTAGACTTAATGAATCCAGCTGTCCACATTATGTCTTTGCTAGAAGTTTGATTGGTATGTTAGTCTGTAAACCTAAGGCTGAACCTTTGATTCCTCACCTTAGGCTTCATGACAGCAGGGGATTGTCCTCTCCACCCAGTATCTCAAACCAAATATAGCTGTCAATCATTGACTTTATTTCCCTTACTCCTCAGCACCAATCTATTAGCAAAGCCTGCTGATCCACCTTTAAAATATATCCAGAATCTGAGCCTTTACTTGGAGGTTGACAACCCCCATCACATCAGAAGGCCTCTTGTCTGTTCTCTACTTCCACCTTTGGATTCCATGATCTACTTTCCCCATAGAAGCCTCGATATATTTATAGAACATAAGCTAAATCATATCACCTTCTCTGACTGAATCCTGATGAGCTCCCCTCCTCACAGAGAATGAAAAATATGCAGAGAATGAAGTCCAAGCTTTTTATCTCAGACCCCACTTCATTAAATTCTAGCTCAGTCCTCCTAGCTGATGTCTTGGGATTGGTCTCCAGTTGCTCCGTCCATGCCTCTTCAGCCACAGTAACTTTGCTATTCTTAGAAAATTCCAAGAATGCATTTTATTCCTTCTATTGCACTTAAAATTATTATTGCATTTATTACTACACAAAATTACATCATATTTTAAAACTTTTTTCTTCACTAGACTATAAGATCTCAACTATAAAAAATGCTCAGGAACATACAGTAATCTTATTTTGGGCAACCCAGCGTTGGAGAAGGGTTTCAATATTTAATTATGCCACTGTATATACCACTAAAACTAAATAAAACCAAATGAGAAGTGTATACTTGAGATGGCAGAAGATGATAGTGTGTTGTAGTTTCTTAGAAGGTAGGAGGCAAGAGTTAACTTATTGAACTAATTTGTGACTCACCACATTCTATGTTCTACACAGGTCCAGAAAAGAAATAAATTAATCAAAATTTAAAGGAATAGAAGAACACTGAAGTGACTTCTCCATATCTTTAGACCAATATCTGGAGAAAGGTGGTTTACTTGATTGGTCGTCAGACCTAACCGCAAATCACAGTCATTTCAAGCTGATTTTTCTCATCCCCCAATGGATATTCATCAGCCAACCCCAGTGATTCTGATTCTCTCCAGGAATCTGGATATTATAAAACCTTTTTTAAGACATTCTGATTTTCAGCCTCTCTTGGAAATCACTGACCAAGGAACTTGCCCATCTTATATGTTTTTAATAGACAAACCAGATATTTAACAAAGTGGTCAAATAGATTGCTTTGCTAAGAACTTTAACATTGTTGATCTGTAGGATTTCAATATTTTTCCATAGCCACATACTAAACCTTCAATTCAATACTGTAGAGAATTCCTTGGTATTGTTAGGTTTGTGAAGACAAATTGAAATCCTAGTTCTCTCTCTTTTGTGAATGTTTCCCTTTTGAAAGCAGCAGTTTCCCATGACTGATTCTGCCACACTACTTACATAGTGAAATACAGAAAGCTAAGCACTGTTACCTACCTCTCTTTCTCCACCCATCTTTGGTCGGTAAACTAATGACTATGGAATCTTGTTTCTTTTGATTGTACTCTGAAATGTGCCAGCAACAATGGGCATGATTAAATGCATCTAATGGATTTAAGCATCCCCCAAAGAAATGAAATTGGATAAAATTCTCATGCTAGTCTTCCTTTTCTAACTGGAAATTTATTCTTCTTGGGTATGGAAGACAAATGCAAGTAAAATTCTGTAGCTGACATTATGTTGGTTTATTGTTGTGGATCCTTTCATGTCAGAGTGACATTTGCTAATTACAGGATACAAGTGATTTTGACCTCACGGTATACTGGAGAAGTAAAGCTAATGGGTATGCAGTGTCCGTGAAACTAAGTTCATTTCCAATCTTTAAAGCTCAAGTTTTCTGAATTGTACATTGGCACAGCAGTGTAAGGATTTGAGGTTTATAAAGCTGGGTGAAAAATTCATATTATTGTGAAATGGAAAGAAATAAAGATTTTTCTTAAATTACCGAGACACTTTATTTGAAGCCATGTTATTTTCAGTTCTAAAGCTATACCTATAAATCCAGAACATGGCCATGAATCTAGATATAATGAGGTAGGTGTTTAATTGTAGTAAGTCAGTTTCTATGGGTTTCCAGCTAATCAGAAATGTAAATGTTGCCACCAGATAGCCTGCTTTTCTGTGAATTAATTTTCTTTTGCTATGAGTACTGCTGGAATCAGAAACTCTCCTGCTTCTGTCTAATATATACAAGCACCTTCATTCCTCGTTTGGAGCCAGTGAATAAAAAACAGTCAAATGATTCCTCACTCTAGTCTTAGCAATGGGACAAGAGAACTAGTTTTTTTCCTCTTAATCCTGTCTTCCTCTTTAATATTCCATCGCTCACCTCAAGGAAATCTCAACAGGATGCTTTGGGACAAAAATAATAGCTTCCAAAGAAAATTCAACTGGCTCCGTCCCACTGCTGCTTGATATGTTAAAACATGAAACTCACGTACTGCTGCACAATTAATGAAAAGTACAGCAGAACTACTGACAGAAAATATGAATAAATGGATGAAATAACACAAGATATCCCTTCATAGAGTACATACTAATTAACTGTTTGGAGGAGAGTATTAGAAGTGACAGGCTAATCGTGGCAAAAATAAAGCTCCTGAGCTACTATTTCAAATTTTGAGAGCCAATAAAAAATGGGATACAATAAGATACAAATAACCAAATAATACCAGAGGAAAGACGTCATAAAATGTAGTGACAAAGTGCTGGAGGAGTTCAGGAATTCGAAAGTCCCCTTCCTACCTCTGCCCATTTAGACACGTCCCCAAAAAAGTGGCACTGCTGATGTTCCAGAGGTATAGAAACCACGCAGCTATGTGGAGTCAGGTGGGAAAGTCACTTCAAGCTAACAGCATGATCAAAGGCAGGAAATGAATAAAGTGGAGAGAATGTGTAAAAAATAATAAATAGTAATGGTTTTTCTGTTTTAATTTTGATTTTTGGCCTTAAAGAATGTGGCAGGAGAAATATGTGAGCTTAGATTATGTTTTGGGAAAAATAGATCACTGAGGTATTTGAAGCACAGATTAAGAACTGCGGGGGCAACAGAGAGCAATTTAGAAAATTTTGAATACAAAGAAGTGATGTAATTTGAATTTTAGAATGATTAATCTAGCCGAGTATAGGTGGAGATGGAGATGAGAATTAACAGAGATATTGCTTATATGTCTTGATATTTTTCAAAGTGTTTAAATTTCTGTAATGTATATATATTTGAATACCTATTGTACATGACAAATATAGTCATTTTTTATTTGTCAAATAAAATTGATTAAATCTCTTAGGAATCAAGTTGTTACAACTTCACGATTGCATTAATAGTTCTTCAATTATTAAGCTAGGACACGAATCAATGGTTTTCAAGATATTATTTACATTACAACTTCTCCAGAAAAAGAAAATATTTCCTATAGATAGTTACATTGTGGTAAAAAGAAATAAACTAATAAAAATAAACTAACAACAACAATAATAACAAAATTCTTCAACCAAAACCAGGCCAAAATTAACAGAACAAGACAAAATAGCATATTGAGTTTGACCATAAATATGACCTTAAATATACCTTTAATTATGTAGTCTTTCATCAAACCTCTGTTCATTCAGATTATTGAAAACACAACCCCCCCAAAAAACTCCACCAGTATAGCCTAACTTAACATTAACCTTTTTTTTCCCAACTGTTCATAGCCATGAATTTCAGCTAAATGTAAGGCAGTGAAAATTGTATTAATTTATCTTTTGTCACCAGAATTATTCTCAGAGAAGGACTCAGGAGAATATTTTGACAAACCTGTGAGAACAAAACAAGACCCTGAGGGGAGGAATTAGTGGGAGCCAAAGCTCCAAAGTAAAAACAAAACTTCTATGCATGAAAAAAATAAAGGAGGGGAGAAAAAGGACAGAATAGAAGAACCCAGAAAAATGATGGGAGCTTGTGTTAGCTTTCTGGAGCTGCTATGGCAAAAGGACTATTAAGTGGACATCTTAAATGTCAGAAATTTGTAACCTCCAGTTCTGGAGGCCAGAAGTCTGAGGTCAAGGTGTCAGTAGCACCAGTTCTTCTTGGATGCTGTCTGGGGGAGAAAAGGGGAGAGCTGTTCCACGCCTCTGGCCTAGCTTCTCTGGGTTTGCTGGAATCTTTGGCTTCTATGGCATCACCCGAACCTGTACTTGCATTTTCCATATTGTTCTTTGTGTGTCTCTGTGACCAAATTTCCTCTTTTTCTAAGAACACTTGTAATAGATTTGAGACCCATCTCCTTTCAGTATCTTAATTACATCTGGAATGACACTATTGTTAAATTAGGTTACATTCTGAGATACTGAGTCAGGAATTTAAACCAGAAATAGCAGGGGGGCACAACAGAACATGAAAACAAGGCTATGGAAATGGCTAAAGTTTTGGCTAAAGGGATTTTTAGATTAAAAAGTCACTGGCATTTCAACTTGGAAGTTTGTGTGGAAGACTGCACAGTAGAAAAAAAGAGGCCTGACCTGAAATAATTTGGCAGATGCTATACCTGGGAGCCTGAGGTAAGCATGAGAATGTAAGCCATTTGGGACCTTGTTCCTGAGGAGGATTCTGGACTCTCCCAAAGCCTCAGATATAAGTGTTAGATGTTAAAAGACAGTTGGCTCCTCCTGATAGCTCTATTAAATCATTTTAACTGACACATGATACTTATCTCTATTGTATATTTTGAAGCCTGACTATAGAAACTTAAAAGTTTTAGGTCACAAGGTAAAGAACAATTTATTTAGTTAGCTTATGAGTGAGGCAGCTGCCTAGAGGAAGGGCCTGAGATAGAGTTGGGTAATCTGCCATGTTGGTGGAAACTCAAATAATAGTAGATGGTGAACTAGGATTTTGGACCAAGGATGAACTTCCTCAGGCAACATGGAATGCAGCCCCCTCCATGCTAAAGGGAGCGTGTCACTTTCTACTAAGCTCCTGAGTTTTGAGGAAATTAAAATGCAAAATAGCCAGTTATTCTTTCTCTAAAATCCAAGTTTCTTTTAAACCCTACATGCTGAAGAGCTAGGTTAGAAGCCTGAATTGGTAGCCATGAAACAATTGAGCAATTCCTGTGCTTTGCTTATCTGTAATTAGCTCTGGATTGAACAGGCATGTTCCACCCCCTCAGGAGCCTTCCGGGAAAACTAGGAGCCATTCTTATTATTATTTCCAATAAAACTCTCCTAACCTTGTCCTTTGGTTCAAGACTTCATTCCTAGATGCTGTGGGACCATGAGCTTGGTACATACGATAACAATAAGGGGCTATGATAAAGTTGCTCAAACTATGTTTGTAAGTTATACTTCAAACTCCTCTGCCAAGTAATGACACTGCATCCTCTCTCCCCTGCTTGAACTGAGGCAGTGTCTACTGGTATAGATTGGGTATAGCTGAATGTGTCCTCCAAAGATTTGTGTTTTGGAACCTTCATTCCCAGTGGCACTGTAGGAGGTGACAACACCTTTGAGAGATGGGGCCACTTGGGAGTAATTAGTTTACTGGGGACACTGCCCTCCGAAGGAGTCAATGTAGATCCTGTGGGACTGATTAGTTCTCACTAGATGATTATTACAAAAGAGCAAGACTAGCTCTTCCCACTTCTGGCTTCTTATCTTAAAATGTGATATATCTTATCTCATATATAGACTTCTGTATGATACCATCTGCCACAAGGTCCTCACCAGGAGCCATGCAAAAGTGGTCACCTCATTTTGGATTTTCAGACTCCTACACTGTGAACTAAAGAAACATCTTTGCTGTATATATTACCCAGTCCCAGTTTTTTTTTTTATAGCTTCAGAAAATGAACAAATCCTCCCATGAATGAACTGGAAATATCTTCAAAATAAACTTTTAAAGTTTTGTTTTACCATATCTATGAAACTTACTTCTGCATACAATCTCTACTGTCCCAAATGCCTATTGTGTCTCAAATACATTCTGTACATCACCAGTATATTATAATGCCCAGAATTTAGTGTGGAAGAGCAGCAGAGAGGCTGAGGATGCGCAAGGTTTCAGAAGTTAGAGAATGGTAGAATCAGAAATAGCTGGTTTTCTAACTCCCAATCTTTTGGGTTTTGTCCTTGTTTCCCTTATTAGTTTTGGCTTTACCTCTACAGAGTGACTCACAACACAGCTCAGAATTTGTCCTTTTAGTCTCAGCTCCATCACTTAATGAAATTTGTGAGTTTGGAGAATCAAAACTGTCTTAGTTGTATTTCTTGTTGCTGGGACAAAATGCCTGACATCCACAAGTTAAGGGTGAAAAAGTTTATTCCTGCTCGCAGTTTATAGAGGTTACAGTCCATAGTTGGCTGGCTCCCAGGCAGAGCTGCACAACATAGGAACATGGCAGAGGAGAAACAGTCCACAGCAAGCAGACAGGCAGCAGCAGCAGCAAGCCTCAATTTCCCTTTTATCTCATGCAGGCTACAAGACTTTTGGGTGTTACCACCTACACCCAGGGTTGGTCTTCCCATTATCCACAGCCAGAAGCATGCTAACCCAATCAGTGCACTAACTCAGTTATCACATCCTTAATCCGTATTCATATATCCATAATTCACATTCACACACCCTAGATTCACTCCCTTCTGTAAAGTCCCACTGATGAATGCATAAGGCTTTGGACAGGTAGATACAAGCCATAATAATAACATTTCTCTGAACTACAGACTCTTTACCCTGATACAGATGTTATGAATGTTAAATGAGCAGATGTATTTAAAAGACTCAGTATTATAAGGTTCACATTTTCTGTTATATCATGTCTAATATTCTCCATGCATTTATGTGGGTAAATATTACTTCTGCAGTTAAGCTCTAATACAGCAGTAGTTGTTTTAGATATTTGTCTTCATTCATCCCCTCCCCTGTGGAGGGAGGGAGAGGAAATGTGAGATCAAATGTGCATATGAAAGTGAATTTAATGTTTTCTAGTACATATACGGATTTGTTCGTCCACTACAATCACAGCACTTTCATCATTGCAGACAGAAACTGTCTGCCCATTAGCAGACATTCCTGTTTTCCTATAGCCCTTCCAGGCCCAGGCAGCCACAAATCTTCCTGTTTCTCTGTATTTGGCTATTTTGGACTTTGTTCATGTTTTCCATAACTGACTTCCTACACAGGGATGCTGTAAACTAAATCAGTCTTATTTTTTTATTTGCCCAATAATATTCCAATAAATAGATATAGAACATTTTATTACATCCATCATTAGTTTTTACTACTTGTTGGTTATCATGAGCAATGCTGCTAGAAACATTTTGTGCAAGTGTTTGTGTGGATATAAGGTTTTATTCCTAAAAGTAGAATTACTAGGTCACATGATAAGTCTGTTTAAACTTTTAGGAGCTGTCAAACTGCTTTTGAATGCATGTAGCAAATTACATTCCCACCAGCAATATTTGAAGATTCCCCCTTATCCACATCATTGACATTTGTTAAAAGTTTTACTTAAAAAATTGTTTGGAAAAATTATAGCCATACTAACAGATGTAGATTGGATTTTCATTGTGACTTTGATTTATATTTCCCTAATAAATAATGATGAACTTGTATTCATGTGCTTATTGACCATTTTAATATTTTCTTTGAAGAACTTTCCATTCAGATTCTTTGCCCATTTTTCAAGTGGATTGTTTACATTTTTATGGTTGAGTTTTAAGTGGTCTTCATATATTCTGAAAATAAGTCATGAAACAATTACATGATTTGTAAACATTTTTCTCCAACACTGTGGGTTGTCTTTCACTTTCTTGATAGCATCATTTGAAACACAGGCATTTTTAGTGTTATGAAGTCCAATTTATTTTTTTCTCTTATGTATTTAATGTTGTGCCTAAGAAAAGCTTGCCTAACCCAAATTCATGAAGATTTATGTTGTCTTCTAAATATTTTACAGTTTTAGTTCTTAAAATTTGATCTATGATTCTTTTTGGATTACTTTGTGTATAGTGGGGTCTGGACTCCTTATTTTGTGTATATCCTGTTACTCTAGTACCATGCTATGGTTTAAATATGAAGTGCCTACTCAAACCTCAAACTTTGTGTACTGAGGACTTGATTCCAAATGCAGCAATGCTTAGCGGTGAGGCCTGGAGAGGTAATTGGACAATA